ACAAGACCTCAGCGTCTTTTAACAGATCCACGCCCCGAGTGTGTCTCATTGTGGTCCGTGAGTGTGTCTTCGTGCGGCAAGTGTGTCGTCGGCGACACTCCACATCCGCCTGCAGCCATCCGCCCTCATCCATACATCCACCCCACCCTCATCCATACATGTCCTTGCCTACCTTAATGCCTCGTATACACAAACATAATAATTTGAGAAAAGACTGAGAAAATACCCTGAACGACTTGAAAGTTGACTGATATATATAATATATAGAGATATATAAAGAGGAGACGGAGGGAAAGACTTAAGAGAAACGGGAGAAGAATTACAGAGACTCAGAACCAAGAGAGAAGAGAGAGAGAGTCAAAAAAACTGGTGAAGTTAAAAATAAATGAGAACTGAGCTCTTGAACAGTGTCGAAGGCTCTCTGGAAGTCTTAGAAAATGCAGTCGGGCCGTCATATTTGTGCTCTGTGAGCATTGTTAACTTTTAATAGTGGTTTAGTAGACTGGATATTATATATTGTTGTAGTGAACATATGGATACGTTTGTGTGTGTGTGTGTGTGTGTGTGTGTGTGTGTGTGTGTGTGTGTGTGTGTGTGTGTGTGTGTGTGTGTGTGTGTGTGTGTGTGTGTGTGTACTCACCTAGTTGTATTCACCTAGTTGTGCTTGCGGGGGTTGAGCTCTGGCTTTTTGGTCCCGCCTCTCAACTGTCAATCAACTGGTGTACAGATTCCTGAGCTTATTGGGCTCTATCATATCTACACTTGAAACTGTGTATGGAGTCAGCCTCCACCACATCACTGCGTAATGCATTCCATTTGTGTGTGTGTGTGTGTGTGTGTGTGTGTGTGTGTGTGTGTGTGTGTGTGTGTGTGTGTGTGTGTGTGTGTATGAACACCGTGTCTGCATATTGGCTTGCTCGAGCGTGTTTGGAGTCAAACGTCGCACACACACACGAGTCATTACAGATATACAAACACACACACACAGGGGGGCCTCGTGGCTGAGTGGCCAGCGCTCTGGGGGAGCAGGATTGGCCCTTGATCACATCTCCCACGGCACAGTGCCTCCCAGGTGACGCCCTCCCATGGTAATTACGACTGCCAGGTAGACAGTTCCAGGCAACACAACGGAGGGGGGGGCGTGAGGGGGGCTGGGGGGGGCTGGGGGGGTGGACGGAGGGGGGGGAGGTCACCTCTATACCTGGGGATCGGGATGCCCCTCCCCCACCACTGACAGTGTAGCCAATTCTTTTTATTCGCTACTCCGTAAAAAAAAAAAGCATTTTTTTGTAGCCTAAGCAGAAACGTACAAACCCGAACAACCCACCATTCCTATCGAGTCCGATGCATAGAAAACGGCAATACTGGCGAGAAGTGACTTTAATTAATAGGTAAAATTTTGTACTAGTAGGCTACAGGACGCTACACAACTCCCGGAACTGTCTATCTCACAACCCCCTTTGTTGCTATCTCTATATAACAGCTATATATATTATAAGAGGTATAAGTGACACAGTGGTGGTGTAGGTGGGTGATAAGGCCAGACGACACTGTAACCTATTATAGGTATAAGTTAAGTAATAATTGTAATTACGAAGCAATAAGATGCTTATCTTAACATACTAAGAAGGTTAGGTAAGGTCGGTGTTTTCTATGAAGCTTTTCAAGGTAAACTAAAATATTCACAATCAATTAGTATGTCACCTATGCACTTATATAATAAGTCAATATTGACTGTACAAAAGTGCGAGAACGGGTTGGACAGTGGGATGGGTGGAGAGGAGCAGCAGCAGTGGACAGGAAACTATAGGTTGTGGTTGAGTAGTTTGTGATTCATTTTCCAGGGTAGAAGTGCATGGGTGGAACCAAGGCTATACTCCCTGACACACCTGATAGTGGACACCTGTTTGTGTGTGTAGCTGCCTGTATGTGTGTGTGTCTAGCTGCCTGTATGTGTGTTTAGCTGCCTGTCTATGTGACTAACTGCC